ATATATGCGTTGCAATCCGCTCGCGAAAAATACACACTCAGGCCCTGTTTCCACTGTCTTTTTTTTTAAATGGCATTTTAGAATGACAACAACCCACATCCACAGTGGCATGTAGCATTTCTGAGCAGCCCTCCTTCCTCTCTACCGCTGAAAACGCACATCACGTGACCACACACACTCGTTCACACACAGACACAGACGCACACACATTGTCATGCGCTCGAGACAGCGGGTCCAGACAGTCAGCCGGTCAGTAGACTGCTTCCATCTTTTACTTTCACTCACTTGTACTTAGTCATTTTAGCGAACACCTCAGATACTGTTGGCTGGTTCCTGTTGGTTGTGCGTCTTTTTTACCGACGCCATTATAACGACACAGATCACTGCCTATTCACGAGTCCCGCAGAAAAAGTGATTGACAGGTGGTAATTATGTGTGTAACTTGCCTTTATTCATTTACTGTATGATTTGTTTATGGGTAAAACAAAGACCATTTAGGTCAGGTAGTTTAAACGGTAGGCTACAAATAATAATTTCGTTATTAATTAATTATTCATAATCGAAAATCGTATCGAATCGTGACTTTAGAATCGAAAATGTAATCGAATCGAGGATTTGGAGGATCGTGACACCCTTAGGTTTAACCCCGGTGTCCAAATCTGCCCACTGGCCTCTGTCCATCATGGCCACACTGTCTCCTCTCCACTAATCAGCTGGTGTGTGGTGTGCGGTCTGGCGCAATATGGCGGCCGTTGCGTCATCCAAGTTGATGCTGCACACTGGTGGTGGATGAGGAGATTCCCCCCATGAGTACAGCGCTTCGAGTGCCCAGAAAAGCGCTATATAAATGTAAGGAATAATAATAATAATAATAATAATAATTATTATTATTATTATTAAATATTTTCAAAACAAAATGTCCCTAAATACACATACATACATTATTTTAGAGAGATAACTTAATATAATTAGTGTTTTTATTCAGAACTCTTTCATTAAAGTTTTAGTTTTTGACAAATGTAGCTGATTTAATTCATAAATCAGCCATATGACTACTCTTTTTGCAGTCTTTTGCCCATTGTGAAACACGACAAACAAAAACAGCACACCTAAAACTCTTTTTGAAAATTGCATTTGAATTGATCATTTTAACTGAGAATAAATAGATGGGTTTTTTTTTTACACAAATCATTTAGCCCTGAGCATGTCCACTGTATACAGTGTATTCTTACATAAAAGCCAGGACCTGGTAAAAAGACCTCTTTTTACCAGAGTGATTTCATCAGTTTATTCTCCCACAGCAAGGCTGATTCCACTTGGGTTTTGAGTTCTGTGTATTTTGTCTCTCACAGGCTGCCATACGCAAAGAGCTCAATGAGTTCAAGAGCTCAGAAATGGAGGTTCACGAGTCCAGTCGACATCTAACCAGGTCAGAAACACACGCAGTGGTTTGTTTTTTTTTAAATTAGAGATGTCCAGTTACTAATTTAAAAAAAATCTTTCATTTTTGGCTTTTCTGTTTTTGTGAATGTGTACACTTTAAAAATAATAACTAAATACAGTAGCTAGATTTACTTAAAATTCTATTTTCTTGTGTTTTCTTGAGCTCACGATGTGAAGATGTACAGTTACTTTCTGATAAAGCGCTGTGAAAAAGTGTTTGCCCCTACTGATTTATTTATTGGTCTTTGCATGTTTGTTACACTTTAATGTTTCAGATCATCGAACTAATTTAATAATTAGTCAAGGATAACACAAGTCATGCAGTTTTGAAATGAAGGTTTTTATTATTGAGGGAAAACCATTAAGCGTTTTTCATAACTTGCAGTGAGTCTGTTCCAGCAGGCCCGGATTGGCTAATCGGGAGCACCGAGAGATTTCCCGGTGGGCCGGTCTGTTTTTTGGCCGTGAGGGCCGGTGTCCCTAGCTGCTTGCACTCTCAGCAGTCGCACTTTTTTCATCTATTTATTTATTTGACCATAGCTTTACTCTTTTTATTTATTATTTTGCCGCAGCGCCACTTTTCTTATTTATTTTCTCGCAGCCTCGTGAGCAAGATGCAGCCTGCAGGTTAACTAACGTTAATGATGATGTAACGTTAACCATCATCATTCGACCCCAAACAGCCAATTCGAATAATTGATATTAATGAATAATACACCTGCTCAATGAAAATCAGATGATTCACTACATTAATAAATCTGACATAACTTGATCAGAAATCTAAAAAGGGGAGAAAAAATTAAGCCATCAATAGAAAGTAATACAGTGTCTTGCAGGTCACAGTCCAATACTTGTTTTTTTCCCTTTCTAAGTTAGTGCTATAGTGGACCAGTGGTAAACATGTTACGTTACTACACCGTCCGGCCCGTGTTCGATTCTCACCTGGAAAATTAACATTATTATTTTTTGAATTTTTATTGTTAAGACATATAATACTATTAGGGCTTTTGAACATTTAAAGTACTAAATCAGCTGTTTTCTTGAAAAAGACGTGATGGTGTCATAAGAAACTGAATTGGAAATGACCTTATTTTAATATAGTCAGTCATGAACTGAGGTGGGCCGGTCTGGCTTGAAACTCCAGGGGTCCCACTCCAGCCCTGTGTTCCAGTGTTGTGGAGGGGTTTTGCCCACTCATCTTTGCTGTATTATAAATTCAGCCACTCTGGAGCATTTTCCAGCATAAACTTTGTCATGGTTTCCGCTACATTCATTCTTCCATGGCGGGGCGCCACGACAAAATTCATCCCGCCACGGCTACATTACAGCTTCTCATTCAAAACATTTCATTTTTTTAATAGCGGGTAATAATCGCACCAAAACCTATTAAAAGTTAAATGAACTATAACAGCGCAAACCTTTTTTTAACAACCTTACCTTTCGTGGTAGTGCTGTGCATCATTTGTTTAACCCTTTAAAGTTACGTGCTGACTGACTGACTAACAGGTGCCAGCAAACACGACGTATAGCCAGTTCACTTTACTTCAGGACGCATTAATACCGCTCTGTAGGTTTATTGGAGACATTCATAAATATTCCTAGCAAATTTAATGAATGCTGGAGACATACTTGTTACATAAATGCACTAAATTGCACCCAGCAGCGTTTATTTGAGAGCGCACAAGAAGATCTGCACTCTCTTGAAGCGGTTTATATTTGAGGGGGCATGCAAGAAGTTTTGTGCACGAGCAGAGGAAATCGTTGCGCGAGTAAAGAGATCTGCATGCAAGTAGGCTATTACATAAATGCGATCTCGACTTGTATTACTGCGCTCACGACATTTGTCATTGAAATAACGCCACAAGTAGTTGGTAGATCTGTGTAAAAAAAAAAAAAAGGCCTGCCGCCACAGCTGGAAAACATCCTAGAGCAGTGGTTCTCAAACTTTTTCCATCAAGTACCACCTTCGAAAAAAATTGTCTCTCCAAGTACCACCAAAATGAGCAATATTGAAGTACAGTAGTGTAGTAGGCCCAGTAAAGCAGCTACAACTCTGCACAGTTAAAAAACCTGGCAGATTACCTCAGAAATATAGCCTATATATAATATATGGCATATTATATACATCATTTTTAATAAATTTTGAATTATATGTAGCATGTACATGACATATTTCATTCCTCCGTGTACCACTGGAAGGAAGCCCGCGTAACACTAATGGTACACGTACCACAGTTTGAGAACCACTGTCCTAGAGGAAACCCTGTTTGTAGTGGCCTAATCAAAGTCCTGACCTGATTCCAATTGAGATTCTGTGGCATGACCTTAACCCTTGTCATTTTCATCTACTCGGGGCGGATTTTGAGGCTTAATTTGCTGACAGCTTTCTATGTGTTTTTCAGCTAATAGAATCATTTTGGTGAAAAATCGTATTCTTATTATACACCTATTTTGGGAAAATGCTTTTAAAAATGTTAAAACTTAACAATACACTTTGGACAAATTGACTACCTTTTGACTGTGTTAGTGGCTGTTTTTTCCTCATTTTGTTGTTTTACTCCATAGAACTCTCTATAAAAGTCACATGCCACATGCCTATGACACAGTGTCCCTCTTCCTAACAAGAAAAAAAAACAGCAACAATCAAGAATGCATGATTATATGCTGTCATTATAATAAAAGTCAATAGGCCAACAACAGCCACCAACTTAATGAAAGGTTAGTTAGTCTGCCCAGAGTGTGTTGTTGAGTTATTGAAAAATTTCTAAGCATTTTCCCAAAATATATCTTAAAATAAGATTTTTCACCCAAATTATTCCTAATTGCTGAAACACAGAGAAAGCTGTGGCCAAATTAAGACTCCAAATCACCTCAGAGTGGATGAAAGCATTCTCAACAGCAGAGAAGAGTTAAGGTCATGCCACAGAATCTCAATTAGATTCAGGTCAGGACTTTGACTTGGCCACTCCAAAGTCTTCATTTTGTTTTTTGTTTTTTAAACTGCATAATGTGTTTACTTGTGTTATCTTTCACTCATATTGAAATTAGCTTGATGACCTGAAACATGAAAGTGTAACAAACATGGAAGGTAAGAGGGCAAACACTTTTTCCACATCACTGTAGATTTTAATGCATATTTAAAATATAGCGCATTACATTACAACTAAATTCAGCCACATCGGAAGGTTTTTCAGCATGATTTGGATTTTTAAGGTCATACCACATAATCTTAATGAATTCAGGTCAGGACTTGGACTAGGCTACTCCAAAGTCTTCGTTTTGTTTTGTTTTTTAACTGCATGATGTGTTATCTTTGATTAATATTGAAATTAGTTTGATTAT